GCGCTAAATAAAGGGAGAGTAATCAAGGTGATGATGAGGTCCATGTGTGCGTAACGATGGGGAGCAGGTGTGCGTAATGATGGTTGCCAGGACCGGTGGTTAGTAGACCGGTGACGTGGAGCGCTGGAGCGGGAGTAGGCGTGACACAATGTTGCAAATGTCGGAGACAGACAGCAAGGTTTATACAAATCTCTGCTGTTGAAAACTAAATGTTAGTCTGAAAAGAAAAGGAAAGTCATTATTAGAGTTTCTATAAATCTCTTTCCCTATTATCTCCTCTGACCAACCACACTTTGACACACTGATTGCGACATAATTCAAGTTCAGGACAAATCTCGCCTTTGTCTTCACTTATATTTACATTACATGGTTTGATCTGGCGCCAGTGCCTCCGCCTTTCTCCACTAATACCCTTTCCTCCTACACATACACTTGTGTCCACGGTCCCACCTAGCTTTCAAGCTTTTACAAGGCATTCGTTTTATTATTACAAAGCTCCCTACTTTTGGAATATCAGGTTTTTCATCGAAGAAGGGGCTATTAGCTCATGTTTGCTGTACCTCTCTAAGTTGTTGGTTGTTGGCTCTTGACTTACAGTGCCCTCAGAAAGTATTCACACCCCTTGACCATTTCCACATTTTGCTGTGTTACAGCCTGAATTTAAACAGGATTACATTGAGATTGTGTGTCACTGATCTACATACAATACCCTATAATGTCAAAGTTGACATATTAATAAAAAATGAAAAGCTGAAATGTCCTGAGTTAATAAGTATTTAACCCATTTGTTATAGCAAGCCTAAATAAGTTCAGGAGTAAACATGTGCTTAACAAGTCACATAATAAGTTGCATGGACTCACTGTGTGCAATAATAGTGTTTAACATGATTTCTGAATGACTACCTCATCTCTGTACCCCACACATACAATTATCTGTAAAGTCGAGCAGTGAATTTCAAACACAGATTCAATCACAAAGACCAGGGAGGTTTTCCAATGCCTCGCAAAGAAGGGCACCTATTGGTAGATAGGTACAAATTTAAAAAGCAGACATTGAATATCCCCTTGAGCATGGTGAAGTTATTAATTACTCTTTGGATGGTGTATCAATACTCCCAGTCACTATAAAGAAACACACGTCCTTTCTAACTCAGTTGCTGGATAAGATGGAAACTGCTCAGGGATTTCACCATGAGGCCAATGGTGACTTTAAAACAGTTACAGAGTTTAATGGTTGTGATAGAAAACTGAGGATGGATCAACAAAATTGTAGTTACTCCACAATACTAACATAAATGACAAAAAGTTTGTTTCTTTGCAGTATTACCTTAGTGTCTTATTGCAAACAAGGATGCATGTTTTAAAATACTTTTATTCTGTACAGGCTTCCTTCTTTTCACTCTGTCATAGGGGCCCTACAGCACCGGTTACATGTCAGTCATCACTCAGCAAAATGCCTGTCACTCAGTCAGTCTGGATATTCGGACCTTCCAAAAGAGTTGCAAAAACAACAAGCAGGTTGAACAGGTTGAGGCAGCGGTGAATGAGGTGGAGAGGGCAGAACAGGCAGAAAGCAGCAGCAGAGTTAGCCACAGGTTTGCGCAGGGTTGCTGGTAGATAACTAGCTAGTCTCCCTCAGCATAATGGTTTGCTAATGCTAATAAGCTAGCGCTCAGCATCCTTAAGCTATTGGGTGTCAGTCAGAGTTATTTAACAGTATATTTAGTGAATGGGCAAGCTAAGGATGCTGATTTAAGTCATGATATTAGGTGTTTATTTAGTGTATATATTAGTGTTTATTTCTAGTGAATTTGATGGGTTTCGTATCTGTAGCTAGCTTGGCTGGCTATCCACTAGGGTAGCTACTGGCTAGCTAGCTGAGACCAAAGTGATGAGAGAATGTTTTTCTGACTGAAGCACATATATTCTGACAGTCACAGAGTGCCACCCAGTGGACTGAAGCTGAACTTTACTCCAACATTATATTTAACCCTGTTTAAAATGAGCAACGTTGATGTGGTAGAACTGACTCAATGAAATGAATCATGGAGGTCTTATAAACTATTCCATTATACAGAAAGACAGGGTAAAAGATGGCGAGCTTTGTGAGACTTGTTTGTTGTCATGACTGCATCACAAGGTAAATTAAGGTTGGGTTTGTTTCAATCCTGCCCACAGCTGGCAGCAATTAAGTAATCATCAATTCAGAGTTCAGCTGCATGCGACCCAATCGTAATGCCTGTGGTAAATGTGGGTTGACTTTGGATATCCCTATGGGGCTAGTTAGGTACCATCTGTAAATATTAAAATTCCAATAGCTCCAAATGACTTAACCTCAACGAACTATAAATTGTAGAAATACATGTACAAATATTGAAAGCATTTAATGAGCAAACTAAAATATGTGCAGCATTAAAATATTGTCTAATGTACATTGTGTACTTTATTGACGGTCGCTAACTAGCCCCAGAGATAGGCTATCCAAAGTCAAAGTCAGGTCGCACACCAGCGAACACACACACAAGACACCCACATCAAGCCACACCCCAAAACCAACTCACGTTTGAATTCAGTCATGGCCACTAGCATTTCTTAATGAACCAAATCTAAAACAAGTCCAAATCAGGAAGTGAGTTTCCCTTCAAAACTAACCAATGACAAGTTGCACCTCTATCTTGCTACCTTTCAGATGAGCCAAGGAGGAGGACAGATGAGAACAGCAGGCCAGTGGAGCACTTAGAACAGCAGCAGCCAGGGGCAAATGGTAGGGAAGAGGATGTTATAGGAGACCCAGACACCTGGATTGCAAAACTAAAGAGACACACCAGACAAAACACAGAGACAGCAACAGAAGAGTATATGATGGAGGGAGACACCAGAAGAACAGAACAGGCCATAACAGAAGAGGATAGACAAAGGAGACAGTAACAAACAAGACAAGACACAGAGAAAGTGACAGAAGACAGCAGATGGAGAGAACAGAGGTGGATTGAGCACACAGTAGACTGTCACTTCAAGCTGCTCTATAGATTCTAAATAGTTTGATTTATTTGCACAAATTACAAGGTGAAATACAGACAGTGAAAAGGTAAAACATGGTTTACAAGAATTGGCAGGTGAGGTGAAAAAGCCTGTGAAATTACTATTAAAACAATTGTCTACTTTTACACTTTTTACAACCAGGACAGGACGAGAGGGTATACAAGAGACAGCAACATTAGAGGGCAGACAAGAGAGACAGCAACAGATGACACAGAGAAGGCAATGGAGAGAAGCAGAGGGGTGAGCACAAAGTAGACTATCACTTGAAGCTGCTTTATGGATTCTAATTACTGCACTGTGTGTGTGGGAGGGTGTTTGGGTACTGTGGGATTATTTATTCAGTTTGGCTCATTGGACAGGTCAGAGTCTGCTTGAAGTTGAGTATTTTTTGGCAATACACTGTTGATATATGTGCTCCAGAGAAGAGAGTAGTGTTCCAGAGTAGAGATATCAACTCTAATTGAGTACTGGCAGTGTCTGCTGTGGCAGGTGGGAAGGGGCAAGTTACCTGAAAAATATAAAATCTCACAATGTTCATCTCAAAGTGCACTAAAGTCATGCATTTAACTGTTTAAGTCCTTTTTCTTTGCTGGGGAAGAATGCCCCCAGACCCCCTACTGGTGTTGGGCTAAACCCCCATTGTCTTCAAATCCTGATTTTATTAGTGCCAGTGTTTTTTTGGGGGGGGGGGACATTAAACAAGCAACAAGATCATACTTAGAGTCTGATCTAGCTAATGATTAGCCCTTTGGGGTAAACAATGCAGAGGAGCAACCCCAGGCTTCAGCCATGTAGCCACCATGCTGCATCAGACAGGTGATGATGCTTATTGCTAAAATAGCACAATGTTATTGGGCTCATTTCTGGATGGAAATATTACATTGAGGGGGGATGGTTTTATTTGTTTTCCTATCAAATTTTATGGTTGGCTATAATTTAAAGTACTCACCCACGATTGAAATTCTGCGTGCGTAACTTGCTTTCCTGTGATTTTGACCCGCGCTAGTAATTTTCCTCATTCGTTTTCACTTGGTACTGGGTCCGGTGTGCCACTGGCAAATTTACTTGAATGTCAAGCCCTGGACTGGTACCCAGGCTAACTGCCTTCCATTTTTTTAAGCCATTTATTTTCATTGTTAGGGCGGCCACATGAGTATCTGGTCAATATAATGGATAATCTGTGGTCACACACAACTGAAACTTGTTAGTCACGGGATCTCAATTGGCCGAAGGGGGGCGCTGCATCATTCGTGGGGGATAAAACAATTAAATAAAATTGTGGGGGACAACATGTTTACTGTTGCCTTGTTTCAAACATTCTGTACAAATTAAAAATATACAAATTAAGGTACTCCAATAATCCCCTTTCATTGTAGATCTGGTACTTGAATGGTTAATTTCTGACCGGGACAATGCACAAAAATGGGTTAGGATGCCCTTCATAATGTGGTAGCCAGGGTAATTACTCTGGATGTGCCCTTCATAACGTGGTAGCCAGGGTAATTACTCTGGATGTGCCCTTCATAACGTGGTAGCCAGGGTAATTACTCTGGATGTGCTCTTCATAACGTGGTAGCCAGGGTAATTACTCTGGATGTGCTCTTCATAACATGGTAGCCAGGGTAATTACTCTGGATGTGCCCTTCATAACGTGGTAGCCAGGGTAATTACTCTGGATGTGCTCTTAAGAGTACTTGTGTAAATAAATAAAACTGAGTGAGATCGTGCCAGAAACTCACCCACAGATCAAAACATTGCCAATGGTGCCGATTAAATCGGAACCTTTTCAATGGCTCAATGGGTTTGTACGTCGTAAAGTTTGAGTCGTGGTACGAACAGGGTACAGTGGAGGAAGTGATGCTGTTAGCTGCACAGCGGAGCCTGTTAGATTTGTAGTGGTCTGCGTTAGGAATTACAGTATCAACATAAACACAATCAGAATTACCCCACACAGCGTTCTCCTTTCATAAGTCATTTTATTAGAAAACAAATTGCAACAGAGCAATTAACCAAACAGCACAATTTCAGCACGGCTCAGTGCGTAGTACAAATTCACCTTCGGAGGTTGCTCTGTAGGATTTAAAACATTCTCAGACCCATATGTACAAAGCAATTTGGAACTTTCCAGAGAGAAAAAAAAAAAGAACCATAAAGATTGAAAGGCTTTTTTTTTTTGAGAGAGAGAAGAGTAACGCTGGTCTAGAAAGGGATGAGAAAGGCAGAGAGAGAGAAAGATCTACATAAAGCAACGTCACATTGGCCAAAGACAAGTCAAGGTGGTTTTGTGCTAATGTTTTTTTTAAACAAGTGACAGACTACACAATCAAGTTTAAAAAAATTTAAGGAAGAGAAAGGATGGAGGGAGAGTTGTGACTGGCGCTAGGGGGGATCGGCACTAGTTCGCTCTGTGCTCTGGCTCGTCCTGCGCTCCACGTGTTTCCTGTGGTCTTTCCCATTGCTGGGCTCTCGTGGCCGATGGCCCAGCTCTTTGCTGCGGCTGTGTTTGTGCGAGCGCTGCACCTCCTCCCTCTCCTGGCTGCGCTCCCTCTTCCTGCTCTTCTCCTTCTCCTCCCTTACCTCGGCCCTGCCCCCACTCTCTTCTTGGACTTCTCTCTTCTTGGACTTATCCTTGTGTCTCTTTTCCCTGCTTGCACTCCGACTGGAGCGCTTGGCCTTCTTGTGACCCCTCCTCTCATCCCTCTCTTCTTTTTTTCTCCTGTCCTCCGTCTCTCCCTTGCTCCTCTTGTCCTTGGACCTCTCCCTCTCGCTGCCCCCGTCTTTATGGTACTCCCTGTCCTTCCTCCTGTCATTCTCCCCGCCCCCCTGCCCATCTTTCTCCCTGTCTTTCCGCTCTCCCTTGCGGTCCCGACTCACGCTGCAGCTCCTGCGACGTTCCCGGCGTTCCTGGGTACGGTCGGCACTCCGGGACCGACGCCTCTCCCTCTCGCCTCCTCTCTCCCGGTCTCCTCCTTTCCTGTCCCCGTCCTTAGTGTCCCGCTCTTTCCTCTGGCGGTCGCGTTCCCTCTCCAGCTCGCGGTCGAAACTGGGGCCATGGCGCTCTCGTTCGCGGTGGTGGCTCCTGCTCCTCGACCGTTTGGGAGACCTCCTGGGGCTCGGGGTCCGTCTGGGGCTCCTGACCAGAGACATGTAGAAACAAAACAAAATTTCAGCTGCATTATCACAATCCCTCTCATTGCCAGATGTGATCAACATAATATTATCTGTAATGGCTGCTCTCCATTTCCTACCTGGAGCGTCTACGGCCCTCTGTTGCCCGCCCCTCCTCTGTTGGTGGTTTCTCCGGCTCCTCTACCTTCTCGGGAACCTTCCGGGGCCTTGCCTTCATCTGCGTGTCGATCATCTTCTGCACGGGCACCGGGATGCGTGGAAAGAGTGTGGAGAACCACTCCAGCTTGGTGAGGAATGACCGGACCATCTCTCCGATGGTCATAACGCAGCCTCCTCCGGCCTTCACATCTAGCTCCTGAGAACATAGGGGGGGACGGGGGTGGAGGTATTCAAACCTTATTAACACACTCAGATGCAAACAGAAGTACAAAATACATTGATTGTATTTATAATCCTATTTATTCATTTACATTTTTGGCATTTAGCAGACACTCCTATCCAGAGCGATTTACAGGATTATCTTCCTAGTCCCTGGTTTTTAACGCTTGCCTCCATCACTCAATTAGAAATAAAATATAAAATTTGTGATGACCATGTACTGAACCTTCACCTCTGTTTTCATCTAGCTTAATATGCTCACATATCATTATGTGTTTGCATAAAAATTTAGCTTAGTGCCTGATACTATAGGAAATAATAGTAGGGAAATGGAAAAATAGTTTTTCATCTAATCTGTCTAGCTGTCCTCAAGAGTCTGTACTTAGACTGAGCTCTCTTACAAAGATACACTACATGACCAAAAGTATGTGGACACGTGCTTATCAAACATCTCATTCCAAAATCATGGGCATTAATATGGAGTTGGTCCCTTTGCTGCTATAACAGCCTCCACTCTTCTGGGAAGTCTTTCCACTAGATATTGGAACATTGCTGCGGGGACTTACTTGCTTCCATTCAGCCACAAGAGCATTAGTGAGGTCAGGCACTGATGTTGGGCGATTGGGCCTGGCTCGCAGTCTGCTTTCCAATTCATCCCAAAAGGTACAGGCCAGTGAAGTTCTTCCATACCGATCTCAACAAACCATTTCTGTATTGACCTCCCTTTGTGCAAGGGGGCATTGTCATGCTGAAACAGGAAAGGGCCTTCCCCAAACTGTTGCCACAAAGTTGGAAGCACAGAATAGTCTAGAATGTCAATGTATGCTGTAGCGTTAAGATTCACTTCACTGGAACTAAGGGGCCTAGCCCGAACCATGAAAAACAGCCCCACAAAACTTTACAGTTGGCACTATGCAGTCGGGCAAGTAGCGTTCTCCTGGCATCCGCCAAACCCAGATTCGTCCGTCGGACTGCCAGATGGTGAAGCGTGATTCATCACTCCAGAGAACGCGTTTCCTCTGCACCAGAGTCCAATGGCAGTGAGCTTTACACCACTCCAACCGAAGCTTGCCATTGCACATGGTGATCTTAGGCTTGTGTGGCTGCTCAGCCATGGAAACCCATTTCATGAAGCTCCCGACTAACAGTTCTTGTGCTGACGTTGCTTTCTGAGGCAGTTTAGAACTTGGTAGTGAGTGTTGCAACCGAGGACAGACAATTCTTACGTGCTACAGTACTCCCGTTCCGTGAGCTTGTGGCCTACCAATTCGCGGCTGAACTGTTGTTGCTCCTAGACATTTCCACTTCACAATAACACTTACAGTTGACCAGGGCAGCTCTAGCAGGGCAGAAATTTGATGAAATGACTTGTTGGAAAGGTGGCATCCTATGACAGTGCCACGTTGAAAGTCACTGAGCTCTTCAGTACGGGCTATTCTACTGCCAATGTTTGACTATGGAGATTGCATGGCTGTGTGCTCGATTTCATACGTGTCAGCAACGGGTGTGGCTGAAATAGCCAAATCCACTAATTTGAAGGGGTGTCCACATACTTTAGTATATATAGTATATGTTGTTAAAATAACAGAAAACACCCTGGGGTGCATCTCAATAGTCAAGTGGCTTCCTCTCCTGATCTCTTTTCCACCATCTCCTCTAGCATTAAAATAAGTAGTAAAGGTAGGGGTGAAACAAGGAGAGAAAACGACTTCAAAACAATTGAGATGGATCCGTGGACAGTCAAGAAAGAAGGGTTTCAAGATAAGTTTTGTGCTTCCTCCTTCCTCGACAGTCCAGGGAGACTTCGGCCACAGTGAAAGTACAGAGTGGAGGAGGTAGATAAGTAGGTAGGTGCACACCAGCTACATAGAGACCAGGTCTGAATGGGTAGAGAACTGAACAGCTGTTTTGCACTCACACACGCAAACCAACAGTGCTGAGAGATACATTATCCAATTCACCTGCTGCACAAGGGGCATCTAAAGAAGAGAACATGGGAATTAGCCAGTTAGGTAGGTTGTCAAAGGATGTAAGGTTAAAATATTGCATCAGAACAAGAAAGTAGGCCTGGTTGCACAGTCTGCCAAACACTATCCAGCCAATTGAAGGTGAACAGAGAAGATAAATCTATAACAAGATTCTCCCCAGGAAATTATGCTAAGTAGGTGTGTGTGTCAGAGAGAAGCAAACAAAGCATTTATGTGTTAAAGTATTTTCTTCTAAAATGGTTACAATTTGAATTTTTCACAAAAAACAAAAACTATGATCTGTCAGGTGGTGGGGCCAGGGAGGAACCATGTTATACATTTCGGTGTAGTTGTCAAGTTTTGTAAATTAGTTTTGTGCAACAAGTCCTGATTACATCTGGGCATGCCTTTAGTTAACAGAATTTGACTATGGTCAAATATACTTACCCTGACAAAAACAGGCAGCAGAGTGAATTACCTAGTTACCCAACTTTGGGGAGGGTGACTGGGGGAGGGCAATTAAGCCAAATGAAGGCAAAGGTGAAAAATCAGCTCTGAGCATCACAACAAGGAGAGAACTGAGAGACAACAGTTTGGATCATGCCAGACTAGTTACTGAAAGGTAGAGAAACATGAAAGTATTACCCGTGTGGACATACCTCCTCATCATCCATGAAACCATCATACCAGTCCACCAGGTCAGCAGGGGGCTGGGTGTATCTGGATAAAGAAACATACAACAATTATGAACATCCCATTGAATAACACATGTAGATGTCTTGGACTACCGCCTGCAACTTGGCACTGATGTTAACCATCTAAAACTAGAGTGTTGTATGTGAATCAGATTTTCTTCTGAGAAGACACGTAACATAACACCAAACTCAAAGTAACTCTCCATTCCAGGAAAGATCAGGTAAGGGGGATACCTAGTCAGTTGTACAACTCAATGCATTCAACTGAAATGTATCTTCCGCATTTAACACAACCCCTCTGAATCAGATCGGTGCGGAGGGCTGCCTTAAATCGGCATCCATGTCATCGGCGCCCGGGGAACAGTGGGTTAACTGCCTTGCTCAGGGTGCAGAACGACAGAGTGGTGTAAGCCGGAAAAATGCCACCATAGAGGACTCGAGTGCCCAAAAGCCCGTTTTAGCATGGGCGGCGCCATTGAGGACTTTCACCATTTTGAAAGTAGTCAACTGGGTGGGACTTCCTATGGGTTAACCCTCTAGAGTCTAAGCCGGGGGAGGAGGGGGGGTTCTAAGATAACATATGGAATTGTTGTAAGATGATCATACCAAGGATCACTTAGCTATTCAATTTTGAATGAAGACCCCTTAAGGTATCAAAAAATATCAAATTGATGGATGAAACATTGAATTTGGCATTACTGCTATTAGCCAATAGAAACACATTGAATGACAGATTCACTACATGGAACAGACAGTCCCCCAAAAAATCTAAAGGGAGATTGTTCTGACGTATCTGTCATATCTGAGAGATATAGTGTCTTGCGAAAGTATTCACCCCCCTTGGCATTTTTCCTATTTTGTTGCCTTACAACCTGGAATTTAAATATATTTTTGGGGGGTTTGTATCATTTGATTTACACAACATGCCTAGCACTTTGAAGATACAAAATATTTGTCAAACAAACAAGACAAACAAAAAAACAGAACTTGAGCGTGCATAACTATTTCACCCCCCCCCCAGTCAATACTTTGTAGAGCCACCTTTTGCAGCAATTACAGCTGCAAGTCTCTTGGGGTATGTCTCTATAAGCTTGGCACATCTAGCCACTGGGATTTTTGCCCATTATTCAAGGCAAAACTGCTCCAGCTCCTTCAAGTTGGATGGGTTCCGCTGGTGTACAGCAATCTTGAAGTCATACCACATTCTCAATTGGATTGAGGTCTGGGCTTTGACTAGGTCATTCCAAGACATTTAAATGCTTCCCCTTAAACCACTCGAGTGTTGCTTTAGCAGTACGTTTAGGGTCATTGTCCTGCTGGAAGGTGAACCTCCGTCCCAGTCTCAAATCTCTGGAAGACTGAAACAGGTTTCCCTCCAGAATTTCCCTGTATTTAGCGCCATCCATCATTCCTTCAATTCTGACCAGTTTCCCAGTCCCTGCCGATGGGGGGAAAAAATGGTGTTGGTGTTTCCGGGGTGATGAAAGGTGTTGGGTTTGCGCCAGACATAGCGTTTTCCTTGATGGCCAAAAAGCTAAATTTTAGTCTCATCTGACCAGAGTACCTTTTTCCATATGTTTGGGGAGTCTCCCACATGCCTTTTGGCGAACACCAAATGTGTTTGCTTATAGTTTCCTTTAAGCAACGGCTTTTTTCTGGCCACTCTTCCGTAAAGCCCAGCTCTGTGGAGTGTACGGCTTAAAGTGGTCCTATGGACAGATACTCCAATCTCTGCTGTGGAGCTTTGCAGCTCCTTCAGGGTTATATTTGGTCCCTTTGTTGCCTCTCTGATTAATGCCCTCCTTGCCTGGTCTGTGAGTTTTGGTGGGCGGCCCTCTCTTGGCAGGTTTGTTGTGGTGCCATATTCTTTCCAGTTTTTAATAATGGATTTAATGTTGCTCTGTGGGATGTTCAAAGTTAAATATATTTTTTATATAACCCAACCCTGATCTGTACTTCTCCACAACCTTGTCCCTGACCTGTTTGGAGAGCTCCTTGGACTTTTAACTAATTATGTGACTTCTGAAGGTAATTGGTTGCACCAGATCTTATTTAGGGGCTTCATAGCAAAGGGTTGAATACATATGCACACACCACTTTCCCCCTTATTTTGTAGAATTTTTTGAAACAAGTTTTTTTTCCCTTCCACTTCACCAATTTGGACTATTTTGTGTATGTCCATTACATGAAATCCAGATAATCCATTTAAATTACAGGTTGTAATGCAACAAAATAGGAAAAACGCCAAGGGGGATGAATACTTTTGCAAGGCACTGTAAGAAAGATCAGGATTCTCTTATTTCCCCCCCCCCATTTTTAATTATCCTCGTATTTTATTTCATTTTACTCATTTAGCAGACGCTCTTATCCAGACCGACTTAGTGAGTGCATACATTTTTTCATACTGGCCCCCCCGTGGGAATCGAACCCACAACCCTGGCGTTGCAAGCGCCATGCTCTACCAACTGAGCTACAGGAGGCCTAAACATTTTAGGCACTAAACTATCTCCATATATACTTCCATATATATTTTTTACTGGTACCGGGGACCTTCAGACGACTCGTGAGGCTTGTGGCGTGCTAAGGCCATCGTGTTCGCGATAGTCTCAGCTGTCCACAGAGAGGTCATATTAGTGTGAATACCAAACCGTTCGGACGCTACAGACAGAATTGGCAGAAGAGGCTGTACCGACTTCAGATGAGTCTTGTGAGCATCCTAGAGCAAAACAGTCTCTTCTTTCAATAGAGTGGTCATAATACTTTGTAGGCCAAACTGTTTGGACACTACAGACGTTTTTGTGAGAAGACCGATTTTCGGGATGTCTCATGGTCTGACAAACACTGGTCTAGCACTGCCACCTTTAACCACAGATGCGGAAGCGCGATATCGGCGGATGTTGTGGATTGAGACAGGGCCATGCAAAAAAACAGATATCACTAGCTTAAACAGATTTGGATGGGGATTATTTTATTATGTTAATTAGATTTACGCGGGGGCGCGGAATATTGTATGCTAAGGGTTAAAGGTCATGAACAGTCAATCATGTTTTTCATGAAATTTGATGATATTTTGATAAATTTGATGACATTTGGATAAAACCAGATCAAAGTATGATGGCCAAAGTATGAAAAATGACTACTGCTTCTACATTAATTGATAAGATGTCATAAAGGTACTGGTTCCGTCCCTCGTGTCAAACATGTGGATTCAGGAGGTGGGATTATTAAGGGGATATCACCCAAACTGTCATTTTAATACACCAATGGTAACATTATATTCTCATGTTATTTAAATAAGTACCGCCTTGTAACCATCGTCAGAAAAGGAGTGTTTGCAGAAGGGCGTGGTTTATACAGCTACTCTACTGGTGCCAAAATGTTACTGCAGGGTGTCAGCAAATATCATAAAAGTTCAGTTTTCGCCTATGGCAAAGATACTTATGTTTCCCCTTTCATCTGTGTCTGGTGTTCGCTAGTTACTGGATAGCTAGGTCTTCAGCCAAAATGGAACAAGGGGGGGAAGCGTTGTTGTTCAAAACTCTGATAGTTGTCATGTCAACACATCCGTCAGTGCTGCTGTGAACCACATCACAAGAGACATACCAAACGGGAAATGCAGAAAACATTGACATCATTGATGCAATTTCAATATTGTTTGAGTTGCATTGTGTATACCAAATTTGCTAGAGATCATTTTAATTCCATCAAGGTCACCACAGGGGATCAGCCAATGATTTATACTTGAGGAAACATTCCATAACTGCAGGTGGCAGTAAATTACCAACCTTGGCTTTATACCTGTTCAAATAATAAACTTTAGGTGGCAGTGGGCACCCTTTCAGTTTGTTTGTCAACTCATAGAAGTAGAAGAAAATTGTCTACTTCAAAATAGAGATGGCCTCAATGGTGCTGCCCTTGCTCTCACAGAAGCCATAATGGGACAGATACAATGATGCTATGTGTAAGTCTATGCATGCAACTAAACACCGCAAAATGACTGCTGAGCATTTCAAAGAGGTTGCAACACATTAAGGCATGGCGAGTGAAATATTTTTGCAGCCATATATAAAAATCAAAAAAATTGGTCCAATCCTTCTGTGCAAACATTTGTCTTTTACATAAACCAAAATTAAACAAAGAGTTGTACCTTATGTACATAAAGCCAAGTGCTCTGATGTAGGGTGAGTCGTTGTGAGTGATCAGTCCCATCACCTGTTTACGGGTCATCTTGAGGGTAAACAGTTTATACAGTAGGCAGAAGGCTGTGGACACAATACCGCCAGTCCCGACCCCACGCACCTGAGGACAGAGGTTCATGTGTCAGACATTTTATTTTTTGGGACCAGTGTTCCTAACATATCTGAAGTAGACCTCTAAGTTTTGGAGGGAACAATTATCGGTTTTCAACACAGCCATACTCCACAACAAAGTTCATAGATATGAACAACAACTTAGACGCACACAAACAATGACTACATCTCATGTGCCCAGACCCACATGCTCACACCCCCATCCCTAGTGCCTGCATTATTGTTTGCCACTTGGTCTTAAAATTGTATCCATTTGTTTTTCCCTCAGTCATCCATGCTATTTAAATAACGAATCACTTGATTTTTCCATTGTTTTTAGTATACGTTTTTTCAAGATGAGTGATAAGAGAATTGTCCGGCCCATTGGGTATCTCACTAAACCTCCATATGCCATGTCTTGAAATATGCAGATTAAAAGTATGTTTACATTGTAATACTTCTGACAGCCAACTTTCTAGCTCTGACTGATGCGTGCGTGTATGTAGTCAGGTCAAATTATTGACCCCCTTGATAAAGATGAGCAACAAAAAAAACTGTATAAAAGAAATACAAATATTGAGCTATATTGTATGCACCAAATAATTGGCACAGCCCAAGAAGGGGAGTGTGGCTACAATGCAAGTCCCTCTCCAGGAAGCGCTCTCCTGCCAATTTGTGCACATTCATTGTTTCATAACTTCATTCTGTGACCTGTTTGCGTTTGATTGTTAAGTCTATCAATTCCCCATTACACACATCACCAGTAGTACATTATTTTTATTTTTTTGTCATTTAGCAGACGCTCTTATCCAGAGCGACTTACATGAGCAATTAGGGTTAAGTGCCTTGCTTAAGGGCACATCGACAGATTTTTCACCTAGTCGGCTCAGGGATTAGAACCAATAACCTTTCGGTTCCTGGCACAACGCTCTTACCCACCAAGCTACCTGCCGCCCCATTTACCATTAATTCCTATCATTTCTAATCTACAATATTTGTTTGGTTAAGGTAATCGCTGTTAATGCATTCAATATATTATTCCAGTATTTTACCATTCTCATTGTCAGAGTGGACACGTTGTTTGCAGTGCGCACAACCTATGCTACACTTGTGAGAAACAAGTTTTGGTTTATTTCATTCCATTTACAAGTTGTCAATTAAGTCATTGTCTTTTGTTTGGCACACTCCTGTCAATGTTGAGTAATCACCCGACTACGCATAGAAGTAGGACTACAGGCTACCTGGCCTGCGCACAAATGTAAGCTTGTAAATGTGCCCATTTGGGAATCTGGTAGTATTTCTGATTGGCTTAACGCACCACCACTAATGAGCTGTGGCGCTTCTCAAAGTAATGTTCTTCAACTCAAACATCCATTGAGAATGACAGTTCCTCAATGATTTTGAAAAATCTTTCCAGCTCGCTCTCCTTCGATAACCACTCAGCGTGAAAAGGGGAAAATGTAATGATCCGATCCAGTGGAAACGTCATAAAATAGGCCTACCGGATTACTTCTTATCCCTTGCGCAAATAGCCTACAGCTGTGTCTGTCCCGAGCTCAATGGCTTGTGTAGGCAATTGTTACATAGTTGGCAATGACAATAGAAGTTACTTTTTAGGTTTGTATCATATTAATTTAGATTTGGATAGAATTTTGATTAACCACATGAATGATTGAGATACGAAGACAGTATTATAAATTAAATGAAACTGTTCCTTAAAAATGTGCATATGAAAACCATAACTGTCACGCAGATCGGTAGAAATGGTAAGATAAATTGGCATTCCACATGAGAAAAGTTGCCGATTCCATGTGTAGCATATTACCGGCAACTTCAGGAGAGTAAAGGCAGAATCTGCTAAAGTCAGCAGGAGGAGGATTGTTGGGATCAGGCTACGCCTTTTCTCTAGAGTGAAATCAAATATTTAACGAGAGACATGAAGTCAAGAACTATATGGGCAGGGTTGGAAATTAACACCCGCCAAATGCGGGTAGATTTTGTCTTTGCCGAGTAAGAATGTCTATTTCACCAGCCACGTTGGCGGGTGGTCACAGCACTTGGGAACAGTTCTTTTTTTTTTATCCAAAGGTCACATGTAGATGTTGGTCGAATTGGCAAGGCCACTGAAGTTTGACTTTGTCCTCGTGTTTCTTAGCCAGTTATATTGTTTTGTTCACACGCTAGGATGTTTTTCAATGTAGTTTGAGTTTGCTGCAACTGTATGCTGCTATGAAGACATCGCAGTCAGACATTTTCCTCATCACAGACAAGTGCGTGCACAAGTTACCACAGTAAAGGTCTGTCCCTTTAAGGCGCAGCTGAACATTTGTCTCACCTAATGATTGCACCTGATTGAGCATGGATCACTCCTAAAAAAAAAGTGTATTCATGAACTTCGTCATTTCTTATCATTAAAACACTCACACTTCAATTGTTCTCCTAGATGTATTTGTGTGCTTCTACATAGGAGGACATCATGTACACCTTGTAAAAAATGTCAGCGTAGAGCCCTGAACTATAAAAATAAATAAGCCATATCACTCAGCATTTTGTGCCAGGGCAGGTACTTTGTTGATTCTTGATGTTCAGTTGTAGAACTGTTTCTGTTTTTACTATTGTATCTAAAGGATTTAATTTAACATATATTGGTTAATAGTCTCAGGTCACAAATGTAAATAAATTAAGCAATATACCCCATTATTTCTTACTAGTAATACATTTCTTGTTTTAGAAAAAAAAAGCAGGCTCAGTTTTTGTGTGTGGTGGAAATATGGCGGAAAATATTTTGGCCGGCAAAAAAAAATCAGAGTGGCTGGTGGATTTTGTAATCTACCTGCCACAGTGACTTGTGGACCAAAAAGTACAATTTCCCACCCTGTATATGGGACGCTGGGCTGAAGGGAGTTGTAGTTATCATTAAGCAAATATTCAACCTAGTTCAGCGTGGAAATGTAGTAATCAACTACAACGACCATAATCCATTGCGCATGCTCTTTTCCGGCTTGGACAGAGTTGGATACACTGCATTGGGCCAGTAACTGAAAGGTTGCCGGTTCAGGTGGAAAAATCTGCCGTTCTTGACCAAGGCAGCTAACCCCCAACAACAACTGCTACCCAGGCGCCGATGACGTGGACATCAATTAAGGCAGACCCCGCATCTCCCTGATTCAGAGGGGTTGGGTTAAATGCAGAAGACATTTCGGTTGAATGCATTCAGTTGTGCAACTGACTAGGTATCCCCTTTCACGCCTGTTAGGTTAGATACAGACAGCATACGTCGCCGCATGAGAGAGGAATGTACACAACGATGTGAGAGAGGGATAAGGCATACTTTCATGAACTGTATCTACTTTCAAAAACTAGTAAACATTTTGTCAGTCAGCTCTGCAGCATACTTGGGCTGTCTTGCCTAGCTAAATATGATGACTAAAGACAGTGTTGTGGGTTCGATTCCCATGGGGGGCCAGTATGAAAAAATTATAAAAATGTATGCACTCACTAACTCTGGATAAGAGCGTCTGCTAAATGACAAATGGTTGTCTGGCTGCTACTGCCTGAGCAGATATGATGACTAAGGAATTAAAGAGTCACATAAAACTAAGTAATATACACAACTTAAATATTTTATAGTTACATAGCAATTTCCAATTTTTCTATGTGGACCTGACACAGACAATGGAATATTTTTTAATGTTTTGGCAATTGACTATTTTTGGCTTTGGAATTTCCATTAAAAAGCCTGAATCGTTTTAAAATGTCAAATAATCGAAACCCCATAATTATTTTTAATAATAGAACCGAAACAGACCTCAACGCAGCACTTGTTTCCACTCATCTTGGGGCCCGTGTTAAGGTCAACGGCATCATTAACTTCCCCCAGTACCAGTATATTTTAGCCAACAACCTGGTTGCCTCTGCTAGGAGGCTGAAACTTGGCCGCAAGTGGATTGTCCAGCAATACAATAACCCCAAGCACGCATCCACAAAGAAATTGTTAATTGACCACAAAATCAACAAGTTGCAATGGCCATCTCAGTCTCCAGACTCCGGGCGGCAGGTAGCTTAGTGGTTAAGAGCGTTGTGCCAGTAACCGAAAGGTCGCTGGTTCTAATCCCCGAGCCGACTAGGTGAAAAATCTGTCGATGTGCCCTTGAGCAAGGCACTTAACCCTAATTGCTCCTGTAAGTCGCTCTGGATAAGAGCGTCTGCTAAATGACTAATTATTTATTATTATTATTGAACCCCATTGAAAACCTGTGGTTTGAATTGAAGAAGGAAGTTTATAAGCACAGACAAAGGATATCAAGGATCTGGAAAGATTCTGCATTTAGGAATTGTCCGAGATCCCTGCCAATGTGTTCTCCAATCTCAGAAAATATTTTATTATTGAACGGTTTTGAAAACAGGGGTGCCAATCATTTTTACCCCTACCTTTTTTTGAAAAGGGATTACTTGTTAAACAAAATCTCTTTCTCTGAGCAATTGTATTAGTATAAAACCATATAATTTCATTTTTTATTTTGCACACAATATAGCTAGCTCAGTATTTGTATTATTTATTTTATGGTATTTTTTTGCTCATATTTGTCAAGGGTGCCAATAAGTATTATTTATTTTATGGTATTTTTTTGCTCATATTTGTCAAGGGTGCCAATAATTTTGGACCCGACTGTATGTGATGCACTTATGAACATGATTTGGCAGAGACTAGCTTCTCTGGTCAGGATGTAACTTGCATGGATTTTACTCCCAGTTGCAGCCTTTGAAATATGCCAGGGAGCATCTGGGAGATAGAAACAGGGGAAGGCAAAAGGCACGTACTTTCTAACTTACCCCTCCGCACATTCCAGTCTGTCCCGCAGTCTTCCTGCTGCCTTTCTCCCAGGGCTCAACATGAGTCACCTAGGGAGAAAACAACATGGTGACCCAATGATTCAAAAATCACATTGTGCCGTTGGTTACGTCATTTGTTGGCTGCCTCAAAAACATAAAGTTAAACCATAAGTGACAAATCTCATGACAAATATGTTATGACGATGTTGCATTGTATGGTGTGATCGTGGATTTATTACCGCTCACTAGTCAACATAACTTGAAGATAACTAGCTAGTGTTATGTAAGCTAACGTTAGCGAGACTGGCTAGCCAAATATCTAACGTAAACTAGGTTGGCTACAAAGTTTACTTAACTAACGTTACTTCCAAAACAATATTCTCAATTATCAGTAGTCCACTTAACTATAGGAAAACACAAGTGGAGTTTGTTAGCTAGGTATATAACTAACGTTAGCAAACCGCTCAAATGTGTCAACAGAAATGTGTCCGTTTAGCCGTGGAATGAACATTGAGATTATAATTACATGCTGCCACAATAAAATAGGAAAAGTAGCGTTAGGCAAAAGTTAGTTAACGTTACCTGCCAATGAATAGTTTAAGCTACCTAACGTTACTTCCCCAATCATTGATTCAAACAGCTAGCTATGAAGCTAGCCAAAGTTAACTAGCTAACGTTAGCTACTCCTACTACTAGCTACAATATCAAAGCAAGCTAGCTAACGTTAGCTACTCCTACTACTAGCTACAATATCAAAGCAAGCTAGCTAACGTAAGCGAGACTTGTAGCACATGGGTCTCGACGGCGTTACCTTGAAATATATTTCATCCACCACCTCATGGTAGGTTTTCAATTCATACAGTTGAACCTTGAAATATGGAGATGAGAGCACGTTGGTGAGAACCATAGGGTTCAAGTTCATAGTCTTTTCGTTGCCCCAGAGAGGCAAGTTGTTGCCATGTTTTCCAGCGTTAGGGCCAATCTTGCTCACGGCCTGTGGTTGTTGCTGGTTCCCGGCGACATTGTTGTTGGCCATAATGCGAGGATCCCACGCTGTCGATATACAAATGCGGGAAATTAGCCGCTAACTGCTAACGTTAGCTATCTTACACAATAGATGCTTCTGACTATAACGCCATTAAAACGCGATATGAAACCTTCAATAGTCACGGTAAATAAACTATTTTCTACAATAACCTAGCACCAGATTTTGGACCGCAAAACCCTACTTTCTCTAGCTATTTGTCTGGCTAGCTGAGATTCTTCGACAAGATGGCACGCACCTAACAGCCGCTGCCTGGAAAAGACCGTAAAATGCTATGACGAACAAACACGGTTCTTCTTCTTTAAGCTTTTATTGTCGGATCGCAACCAACTGACAGTTGCTTACACCGCCACCTACTGTACTGGAGTGTGAGGCCGGTCACGATCTAGTGTATCTATACCACAGCAGGTTGGTGGCACCTTAATTGGGGAGGACGGGCTCGTGGTAATGGCTGGAGCGGAATCAGTGGAATGGTACACATGGTTTGATGCAATGGAGTACATTGGCAACAGAGGAGATGGCTGCCGTTTTACGGGCTCCTAACCAACTGTGCTATTTTGTTAGTTTTTTCGCATTGTTTGTAACTCATTTTGTAAATAATGTTGCTGCTACCGTCGCTTATAACCGAAAAGAGCTTCTGGACATCAGAACAGCAATTACTCACCTCGAACTGGACAAATATTTTTTCTTTAATGAGTCCGACGTGAAGGATAGACGGCCCAAATCCCCGTCATCAGCGTGAAGACAGAGAAAAAGGGGGAGGAGGGCGTGGTGCCTTGTAAGAATTTGCGGACGAGTAGGTAAACCACCACTACCCTCCATATTATTGGCCAACGTGCAGTCATTGGAAAACAAACTGGACGATCTACGATTAAGACTATCCTACCAATGGGACATTAAAAACTATAATATCTTAAGTTTCACTGAGACGTGGCTGAACGATGACACGGATAATATAGAGCTGGCTGGCTTCTCCATGCATCGGCAGGACAGAGCAGCTACGTCTCGTAAGACCAGGGGCGGGGGTGTGTGTCTATTTGTCAATAACTGCTGGTGCCCGATGTCTAATATTAAAGAAGTCTCGAGGTATTGCTCGCCTGAGGTAGAATACCTCATGATAAGCTGTAGACCACACTATTTACCAAGAGAGTTCTCATCTATATTATTCGTAGCCATCTATTTACCACCACAAACCGATGCTGACACTAAGACCGCACTCAACGAGCTGTATAAGGCCAAAGCAAATGAGAAAATGCTCATCCAGAAACGGCGCTCCTAGTGGCCGGGGACTTTAATGCAAGCAAAATCAGTTTTACCTAATTTCTACCAGCATGTCACATGTGCAACCAGAGGAAGAAAAACTCTAGACTACCTTTACTCCACACACAGAGACACAGACAAAGCTCTCCCTCGCCCTCCATTTGGCAAATCTGACCATAATTCTATCATCCTGATTCCTGCTTACAAGCAAAAACTAAAGGAGGAAGTACCAGTGACTCGCTCAATATGGAAGTGGTCAGATGACGCGGATGCTACGCTACAGGACTGTTTTGCTAGCACAGACTGGAATATGTTCCGGGATTCATCCAATGGTATTGAGGACTATACCACCTCAGTCACCGGCTTCATCAATAAGTGCATCGACAACGTCGTCTCCACAGTGACCGTACATACATTTCCCAACCAGAAGACATGGATTAAAGGCAACATCCGCACCGAGCTAAAGGCTAGAGCTGCCGCTTTCAAGGAGCGGGACACTAATCCGGACGCTTATAAGAAATCCCGCTATGCCCTCAGACGAACCATCAAACAGGCAAAGCGTCAATACAGGACTAAGATAAAATCCTACTACACCGGCTCTGATGCTCGTCGGATGTGGCAGGGCTTGAAAATTATTACAGACTACAAAGGGAATCCCAGCCGCGAGCTGCCCAGTGACGCGAGCCTACCAGACAAGCTAAACACATTTTATGCTCGCTTCGAGGCAAGCAACACTGAAGCATGCATTAGAGCACCAGCTGTTCTGGATGACTGTGTGATCACGCTCTCCGTAGCCGATGTGAGCAAACCCTTTAAACAGGTCAACATTCACAAAGCCACGGGGCCAGACGGATTACCAGGACGTGTACTCAGAGCATGCGCGGACCAACTGGCAAGTGTCTTCACTGACATGTTCAACCTCTCCCTGACCGAGTCTGTAATACCTACATGTTTCAAACAGACCACCATAGTCCCCGTGCCCAAGAAAGCGAAGGTAACCTGCCTAAATGATTACCGCCCCATAGCACTCGGTAGCCATGAAGTGCTTTGAAAGGCTGGTCATGGCTCACATCAACACCATCATGCCGGAAATCCTAGACCCACTCCAATTCGCATACCGACTGAACAGATCCACAGATGACGCAATCTCAATTGCACTCCACACTGCCCTTTCCCACCTGGACAAAAGGAGCACCTATGTGAGAATGCTGTTCATTGACTAAAGCTCAGCGTTCAACACCATAGTGCCCACAAAGCTCATCACTAAGCTAAGGACCCTGGGACTAAACACCTCCCTCTGCAACTGGATCCTGGACTTCCTGACGGGCCGCCCCCAGGTGGTAAGGGTAGGCAACAACACATCCGCCACGCTGATCCTCAACACTGGGGACCTCAGGGGTTCGTGCTTAGTCCCCTCCTGTACTCCCTGTTCACCCACGACTGCGTGGCCAAGCACGACTCCAACACCATCATTAAGTTTGCTGACGACACAACAGTGGTAGGCCTGATCACAGACAACAATGAGACAGCCTATAGGGAGGGAGGAGGTCAGAGACCTGGCAGTGTGGTGCCAGGACAACAACCTCTCCCTCAATGTGAGCAAGACAAAGAAGCTGATCGTGGACTATAGGAAAAGGAGGGCCGAACAGGCCTCCATTAACATCGACAGGGCTGAAGTGGAGCGGGTCGTGAGTTTCAAGTTCCTTGGTGTCCACATCACCAACGAACTATCATGGTCCAAACACACCAAGACAGTCGTGAAGAGGGCACGACAACACCTTTTGCCCCTCAGGAGACTGAAAAGATTTGGCATGGGTCCCCAGATCCTCAAAAAGTTATACAGCTGCACCATCGAGAGCATCCTGGCCAGTTGCATCACCACCTGGTATGGCAACTACTCGGCATCTGACCGTAAGGCGCTACAGAGGGTAGTGCGTACGGCCCAGTACATCACTGGGGCCAAGCTTCCTGACATCCAGGACCTATATACTAGGCGGTGTCAATGGAAGGCCCCAAAAATTGTCAAAGACTCCAGTCAACCAAGTTATAGACTGTTTTCTCTGCTACCGCACAGCAAGCGGTACCAAAAGGCCAGGACCAAAAGACTCCTTAACAGCTTCTACCCCCAAGCAATTGACTCGGTACCGGTACCCCCTGTATATAGCCTCATTATTGTTATGTAATTTGATTGTGTCACTTTTAGATTTTATTTAATTTTTTCACTTTAGTTTATTTAGTAAATATTTTCTTAACTATATTTCTTGAACTGCGTTGTTGGTTAAGGGCTTGTAAGTAAGCATTTGAAGGTAAGGTCTACACCTGTAGTATTCGGCGCATGTAACAAATACATTTTGATTTGATTTGATGCCATTCCATATACCCCTTTCCAGCCATTATTATGAGCCGTTCTCCCCTCAGCCCCCTCCACTGATTTATACCACTATATTATTCTCTTAACTAACCCTGAATTTCTAAGAAAATAAAGTAATTCCTTACAAATCTCACTACTCCCATCACCCCCACCCAAAATACCACCCACTCCCCATTCCCATCCAACCTCTCTGACCCTGTCAAACAACCTCTCCCTTTCTACATCATACATTTCACAAAATAATAATACATGTTCAACCTCTACCATACAGTCATTACACATTCCAGTACCATGTTTCCCTATCAATTTCAAAGAGGAATTCCATCCCGCATGCTCTAATCAAATCTACACAACACAACTTTGTCCCTTCTGTTCCCATTATATGACACTATCTCCAGTACAGATTTCATTGTACTATAAAAATGTATGCCCTTATTACTTTCATCCCATTGTCTCTGCCAGCAATCTAACCAATTTTTCTGAATCAATGTTATAATTTCCCCTCTACCCAACTGCACCTGTATATCCACAATATTATTTCTCACTGCTCTTTTTGCTATTATATATACTATATCATTTCCATTAACTCCTGTATGAGCCGGAATCCATCAGAACTGAATTTCAATACCATTTCTTTGTAAGCCCAACAACAGCATCATTATTTCTAACCATAAATCCTCACGTTCTGACTTTCCAGATCTTAAACTACACAAAACTGATGCAGAGTCCGAACATATTACTACTCTTTTTGGTTGCACCTCCTCTATCCATTGCAATCCAATAATGTTCGCAACCATTTCTGTTGAATATACAGATACATCATTTGTTAGTCTCTTGCATAGATTAACATCGAACTCAGGAATAAATACACCTGCCCTGTCTTCCAGTTCATGGGATCCTCAGAACTATCTGTATACATTGCAAGGCAAGAATAAAACTGATTACTAACATATTGATCCACTATTGTTTCCTACATTATCTTTTTCACACCACTGTTTCTTTTCTTTGATCAGGTTAAGATCAACAAGTGGTCTTGTTTAAAACCACGGTGGCACATTTCCTATTGCCACAGATGGCCCTATAACAAGGTCCCTGAGTCCATAGTCATCAATCCTTTTCCCAATATCTGAGCCAAAAAACTTGGACTAGCTTAACTCATCTAAGGGATAGTGGCATTTCCCCAGTATGTACTTGTAAAGCCTTAACCGGTGTGCCCTCGGTTGCATCCTATCAAGGCGCAACAGCGATGTAAAAGCCTCAGAACCACATACAAAGCACCCATAATCTATGGACGATCTCATCAAAGTATGATAAATATTCAGTAAAGATTGCCTATTTGCCTCCCAATCATGCCCAACTATTGTCCTCATAAGATTTTATACTTTCTTACATTTAGTCTCAATACATGTAATATGACGTCTCCATTTCATCTTTTAATCAAACCAAAGCCCCAAATACTTCAATTATGTTACCCTTTCCATTCGTTCTCCATTTAATCGAACACTGACATCTTCCTTTATCTTTTTGTTAGCGAACAACATGTGGCAAGAGCACCTTGCATTTTCGCTATTATATAAATAATATTCCTTCCCCTTTTCCAAATGGCACCATCATCTGCATATAAGGCCGTCCCTATACCCTGTCCGATAT